TCTTTTTTTAAAATGGCAGGCTTCTTGCTAACTGTTCTTATAGCTTAAATTAATCCATTTCCATAAATCTATACCTTGCCATGTGGCTGGTGGCTTACCGGTGTCTTCACATGCTGCTGGTCATGGTGGTGGCTGGCAGTGTCTCTCTGCCTCAGCCTCCCGCTTCTCAGAATTCTCCTCTCTCCTTGTCCCACCTACTTCCTGCCTGGCCACTGACCAATCAGTGTTTTATTTATTGACCAATCAGAGCAGTTTGACATACAGACCATCCCCCAGCAGGAACCTGAAATGATATTTAAGGTTTATGAATTAACTGTGCTAGTGAATCAGAGCAGTCAGTTCCACCTGTTGGGCTGAAGTCAAAGAAGTAGAAAAGTATTAATAGATCAATGACTATCTGTACCATGAATCGCTCCTATACCTTTAGATCAGCCATCAATAAAATAAGTATCTGCTTCTGGACTGGGAGAATGTTGGGCATATTTTGTAACCACATTTAGTTTGTATAAGAAAATCCCATAGCTTACCATCTGGATAATGATGTCCTATCCTCCATAGTAATCTGCAAGTGAAAGTTGAAAATCCATGGAGTTCTGTAATGCTCTTAAAAACTGATTGTTAGTTAAGGGTAATATAATACAGCAAGGGTCAAATCCATGTACTTGCTGACATTGGGTTCTCCCCTGACTTATTATTGAAAGGAAGAAGAGTAAGGTAAGCAGTTAGTATTTTATGACTCTTATGGTATATATAAATCCATTCCAAAGGTTTAGCCTCTTGTGCTATAATGCCTGTAGGAGATAATTTAGTGGGGAAAATGAGTAAGTTTAAAGAAGGCGAAGGATCTGCATGATGCACAAATGGTTTTTCGTCTGGATTCAAATAGCTGCAGTTCTTTTCTTGCCTCTCGAGATCATATTTACCTCCCTCTGTGAGGGTCTCTGCCCTCTTACCTCATAGTCAAGTTCAGGTCCCTGTTCCCAGTGCCACCTCTTTACCTCTCAAGTTGGCGGTGGACCTGGGAGGATGGAGCTGATAATGAGGCAGACTGAAGTCTCATGTAATAGCCAACTTTTTCCAGAGCATCAGACAATTTATACTCTGAGGGTTAAGAGGAGTCACATGAGTAAAAGTGTACAATCACAAATGTAAGCCACAGCCGGGCGGTGGTGGCGCACACCTTTAATCCCAGCACTTGGGAGGCAGAGGCAGGTGGATCTCTGTGAGTTCGAGGCCAGCCTGGGCTACAGAGTGAGTTCCAGGAAAGGCGCAAAGCTACACAGCGAAACCCTGTCTCGAAAAAAACCAATAAATAAATAAATAAACAAACAAATGTAAGCCACATGTGAAGGACAAGCCACATGTGGAGGACAAGCCTCATGTGGAGGACAAGCCTCATGTGGAGGACAAGCCTCATGTGGCAAAAATAGGGTTTTCCATAGAGGAATATAAATAAATAACAACAGCCAGTTGTAATGAATAGTCTGAAGTAAACTCACTTCTATCTCCTACACCTGGGAGAAGCATGAAAGCACATTCCAAGAACAATTCTGTGTTTTAAGAAAACTAAGGTCCCAAGACTTGTTTTCTTGGCATTTTCCCACAAGCACTCAGAATTCTCACCTGATTCCATTTTTAGACCTTGTTCCAACATCTGTCCTTTCAAGTTTAGCTTTGAACTTGCAGCTGATGAACTTCGTTCAAAGTTTTCTTGTGTAGGAAATTATTCAACAAAGACTTCTTGAGAAGCATTTACTGTGCAGTTGAGAATAGTGGGAGGCTTCCTAGAATCTATAGAGTGGAGGTTAGTGTAATTGAGTAGCATCTTTGTCTATCTTGACTTGTCTCCAAAGAAGAATGTATTTGCACTTAACTAAGAGACGTGCAATATGTGCCACTGAGTGAAAAAGAAGGAGCACTTGGGATGTTTCATTTTGAAGAGAAAAAAATTATTCTTGGAATTAATGAGTCAAATTCAAGCTGTTTCCATGTATGTGCCATTTATGTTGAGTAACTTATCACACTTAGCTACTGTGAAGAAATCCAAACTGAGATTCCTTTTGAGATTTCAGAACCATAGGAAAGCATCTGAATGGTCATCCTGCATCCCTTTTAGGGGATAACTAATTGCTTTTGATGTGATTCCAGGACAGTGTTCAGTTAAAGGATCTGTGGAAAAAAATCTGCCATCACAGCAGCGGGATGGAATTTCAGGATCACCGTTATTGGTTGAGAACACATCCCAACTGCATCGTAGGAAAGGAGTTAGTCAACTGGCTAATCAGAAATGGACACATCGCTACGAGGTATTATAATTTTAAAATGTTTTGAAATTATTCATTAGTTTATTTTTATTAATGATTAGGATGCATATTTGAAGATGTAAGGGTATCGTTTTGTGAGTTAGGGTGTTGTTTTAGGGATCTGATGGTTTGAGGAACAAGCTCTTCAACTTCCTGCATCTGATGAGAGTGTTTGCAGGCAACCTGACTGGGGTCACGATTTACCATACTAAAAACAAGGACTGGCAGCTGGTGAGATGAATCTTTGGGTAAAGGCACTTGTTCCCAAGTCTGAAGACCTGAGTTGGACTTCCCGAACATGCACGCTATAAAAGGAGGACTAACATGGTGAAAAGCCCCATGGGAAAAACTGGGTGCAGCAGTGCACTGGGGGAGGCAGAGGCCAGAGGTTCAGCTGGTGAGCTGGTCTAAGTGGAATTGATGAAGTCCAAGTTCAGTGAGAGACCCGTCTCAAAAGATAGGTGATCAGTTGAGACAGAGACTCCATGCTGGTCTCTGTCTTCTAAGTACTCCCTTCACCACGTGAGCACCCCTGTGCACACAAATGCACAGAACCAAACACCCTGAGCATGCAGTAACTCTTCAAGTGGATTCCTAGCAATGCAGATGGGAAAATGTAGCTAGAGTCTGTTCTGTAATCTAGACATTGCAACCTGGGTTGAGAATTGAGCCCACAACTTATGTCTGGAGGGACCTAATATGTCTCACAGATCACATATAAAACAAATGGCAGACAGGATCTGCTGCTTTTTTCTGTGTTAGCTACCTTTCTGTTGCTGTGATATGATACTAGTCCAAGGAAATTTACAGAAGAAAGTATTTATTTTGGCTTAAAGTTACAGAGGGTCTGTGGGGGCCATACCTATTCAAATCACCACAGGAACATTCTCATTCAAACCACTACACCTTTCAAGTGAAGCTATCTCTTAGTGTTTGATACTTGCTCAGATAAGTCTCCTCTCACTGAGAAGGAACAAGAAAGAAGTAGCTGTAAACAGGGATCCTCTGTTTCCTAATTTGGCTGTAACTCTTATGTCTTTAGTCAAAATTTTCAGTCTCTTTGAGACTTGGACCTCTTAATTCCAATGCAGGGGAATGATTTAGTGTTGTATATAAGCTGTGGGTATTGACAAAATAGAGTTGGCTAAGTGCTTTATAAGTGTCCAATGTCATATACTGTAATGTGTTGTGTCCATTTCATTCATATATTTCATACCTATGATATTTGTGTTGTCTTTTCATAGAGACTGTAAGCTGATTGAGTGTAGGAACCATGTCATTCTCAGTCTTTTTTACTTTGTTAAGGATAGGTGTGAGTGCATTGTGTACTCAGTACATGCTTAAGCTTGTTTCTAGGGCTACCTTACCCCTAGGCTCTCCTTTGCTTTGGTACCTAGAGGAATTTCATTTGTCTCAAGTAGTTCTTTCTTACCCCTTATCTACAGACCATTTGACAGTTTCTCTTTGATTAGAAATGAAAATGAAGAAAAAGAGAGAGAGAGAGAGATGCTTTATCATGTGCCCAACATGCATTACTCTGTATGACCTTTTAAAATTTCAGTTTTCTTGGTCTCGATTTAGGGCACAAGCTATAGCAATTGGACAAGCAATGGTTGATGGACGTTGGTTGGATTGTGTCAGTCATCATGACCAGCTTTTCAGGGATGAGTATGCGCTGTATAGACCACTGCAGGTAATTTGGTAGTGCTACTGCTGATAAGAATGTAGTAGCTTGTTTTGAAGTTGTGTTTTTATCAGTAGGAATAAAAAGTTGAATCGCCTAAAGACTCTGTTACTAATACTTGTCAGACTCAGTGCTAGGGAGCTGCTTCCCACTGAGCAGCCACCTTCCAGGATCAGGCACTGTCAGTGTGCTGTGGCTTCGCTCAGGCTTGGCTTCTGCGACCTAGTTACTTGTCATCTAATTTTAATGTTTTTCAGTTTTACTCTCTATTTTTAGAACTAAGAGGGAATGAAATATATATAATAATATGATTTGAAAATTTGATATCAAAGGTTTTGACTTTTTTTGTTTGTTTTTTGAGACAGGGTTTCTCTGTGTAGCTTTGCGCCTTTCCTAGAACTCACTTGGTAGCCCAGGCTGGCCTTGAACTCACAGAGATCCGCCTGCCTCTGCCTCCCGAGTGCTGGGATTAAAGGCTTGCTCCACCACCGCCCGGCTTGACTCTTTGTGTACAAATTGTACACTAATGACCAAATGCTAAAATTTATTTTATAAGAATGAAAATTATTTATAGATAATTTTTTTGTTTGGTTGCTTTGTTTGTTTATTGAGACAGGCTACTGTGTAGCCCTGGCTTTCTTGGAACTCACTGTAGACCAGGCAGGCCTCGAACTCAGAGATTTGCCTGCCTCTACCTCTTGAGTGCTAGGACCAGAGGCCTGTGCCACCACCATCTGGCTATAGAAAACTTTTAAAAAAAAGATATAATTCTTTAATTTTTGGTTTGTGTAAAAGAATACATACATACACACACACACACACACACACACACACACACACACAAACATACATATACTTAGACACACACACAAGCATATGTCCATGTGATGAAACTCTAAGAAGCTTTCGGACTAAGATTTGTAAGCTGAAACCAGAAGCCCCATAGTTAGAAATGACAAATAGCACCATAGAGTGGTGTGGTATAATTTGTTAAAATTGGGTTGTTTTTTTAGGGGGTTCTTGAGTTGCCAGGGTTAGACTAAATTATGCTATCTTCACTCAGAACTAAAGGATGAAGTGAAACCCTGCCAAGTACACATCAATGAAATATTCATTTGTAAAATGCTACTTAAGCTTTGCAGTTAGTGAAAATTATCATTTAAGAGTGTGATGATCAATATGATACTGCTTTGCACCTCTTTGTTGTTACTTAGCTGTTTTTATGTGAACTTATTGAATTGTTAAAGTTATAGAAATATAAACCCCAACCTCTCTGCCATATGCTGGTAGTGTCACTCAGGGTCAGTTGCTCGGTTTGCTTTGGTCCTTTCAGAGTACGGAATTTTCTGAAACACCTTCTCCAGACAGCGACTCGGTGAACTCTGTGGAAGGACACTCTGAACCGTCCTGGTTTAAAGACATCAAGTTTGATGACAGTGACACAGAACAGATTGCTGAAGAAGGGGACGACAATTTGGCTAGTAAGTCTGGCTTTCTAATGTTGCAGTCGTTATGGCTCATTGCCATGCTGGCATGATGAAATGACTGTCCTGTTTATGATGTATGGTGCCCACTGGATGTCAACATTTGATAGTAGTGATCCTCGCTTAGATACAGTATTTTCGTAAGCCAGTCTGTGAGTCAGCTGACATTTCTGGATGTTGCTCTGGTCTCTAGTTGCAGCAGCTTTAAAATAACTCTTGAGCTAATATCGCAGCAGGCAGCTTTCTTGTCTCTTCACTGTGGTATCAGACTTTCTCTGTGCAGAACCTCCAATATATTTCCTCTTTTAAAAATTCATTTGAAATTTAACATGCTTCAATTTTATGAAGTCTACCCACAAGTACATGAAAATACTGTATCCATTTTGGTATTGCACATTGGGCTTGTGTATTAAAAGTTTTTTCCTTTCCTCCAATGCCCTGATAAAACCCATTTTTACTCCCCTCTCCCTATATTTCTTTCCCCTTCCCAACACTAAAAGATTCTGCCAGCCCTAGCAAGCGCACCTCAGTCAGCAGTTTCCAGTCCACAGTGGACAGTGACTCAGCCGCTTCCATCAGCCTGAACGTGGAGCTGGACAACGTGAACTTCCATATCAAGAAGCCCTCCAAGTACCCACATGTGCCCCCTCACCCTGCTGACCAAAAAGGTAGGAGGTAGTCACCACCTGGATTCCAAGCAGGTCAAAGAGCTGGGCCCTAGGGTCTCCTTACAGCCTGTCCTCTGCCTTCCTCTGTCCCCCAGGACTGAGGGGATCTGGAGTGGGCTTTGTTCCACTGTTGCTGATCTCCCACCCTCCCACTCCCCACCCCATACCCCTCCCCACACCTTTTTTGGTTGATTCTTTTTATTTCTTATTTTCTCCCTTTGCACTACCATGCCCAGTTTAAAGTGTGTAGTCTTTAAAAGGAACTATATCTGACTGTTCTTCCCGTAATGTGCAACTTCCAAGGTGGCAATTCTTTGCATTGATAACACGGACGTTCTGCCCTAGTCTTTTGTCTTTTCTTCATTTAACATCACCGAGCCTCTTTGCTTGTGCTATTCTACAGCCTCGGTTTCTTAAGACTGTTCAGATGCCCGAGCGTAGATGGGGGAAGTTATTCATTCATTTCTATTACATTTATTTTAAAGTTTCTTCTCTAGTAAAAAATGAATTCCTTTGTAGTTTTAGCTGTCTTACTTGATGCTTTAGTTTGTGAACTCAAAGATACTAATGGCCACATTATAAAAAATCCAAAAAACAAAAGCATGGTGTTAAAGGAAAGATGCAGTGAACCATTTCTAATAACATCGCAGCATGGATGGATTGCTCCTTTAAATGGAGGGTGAGCTGTATATTATTAGATGCAACTAGAAGCTTATTTCAAGTATAAGACTAATGGACCATTATTTTTCAAAGAAAATAAAATAAGTAATTATGGGAGTTCATTATACTAATAACCAAAACATCTTTATTATAAATAAAGCATTTAATTCCATGGTTTTACCCAGTGTTTGAATTTTGAACATTTAACTCTCTAATACTGAATTGCTTCTGAAATGCTTGCCTAATTCTTTGCTACTCCTTTACTTTGAACCTAAAAATAACATAAGGAATATATAGAATCTAAAGGTTTATTTCACAATTTGAAACATTTACATTTCCTCAACAAATTTCTCCATAATTGTCAATGTAAAGATGTGATAAAATGTCAATTAAGGTAACTATGATAATAAAAAGTGATTCTTATTTAAAAAATAAGGTACTGAGAGAGAGTGAGAGGAAGGAGATTTGACCGTAGGTGAATATAAAGTCCACATGGTGATGGGGATCCTCAGTGTAGAAGTTTCAAACATGATGGAGAACATTTGGATGAGTGTGAAGGGCAGGGTGACAGATCTGACCCTTGTGAGAATCCAGTGTACACTGAAGTTACACGAGATTAGTCTTTTAATAGAGATGTGGGTCAGCAGTAGACTGTGTCATGACGGGACATTTGCCCTCTGAACATGCATGTTAGCTGTTCCGTTTTGCTGAAAGCAGAGTGTAAGGTAAAGTACACTTTCTGTTTGCTGGTGAGTTTAAGGATGTCTTGAAAATTTTGGAAAAGGTAACCTCTCATCATAGGATTCCTACTGGCAAAGGGTGTACTGCTGAGCCAGCACACATTTACTTAGGAAATCTAACTCCGCATATGGGGTGAGGAACAGAATTAGAGGCTTCAAAAGTGACATTTTTGCCAACCTCAGTGTAACTCTGGAGAATAAAAAGAGAAACACCTGCAGTTGAAAAAACTGCCTGGTTTTAAATCATTTAAAAACTTGTAAAAGTTGTGAGCAGCAGCTGTTGTGGTGATAAATCTGAAAGAAGGTTACGTACTTGTTAAGAAAACTGACAGAATTGCAAAAATCCACATTGTACCAAAAGTTGGAGGAAAGGTCAAGGATATCTGAGAACAGAGTCCAGTTGTCATAGAAAGAAAAAAATAAGCCAAGTTGTTAGAGAAGTAGTTGTATTTCTCTGTCAAAATTAATATTATTAGGAATGATGCATAGATAAGGGAGGAAAGAAACTGAGCATGCATGGTTAGTCCTGGCCAGATGTCGGCAGACTGCCCACTTAGTAACAGTTTAGTTGTTCATGGTCATGGAGCTAGAGTCTACTGTCTTTCAAGACTCCTACAGAGTAAGTGTCTAGCTGACTGTATTGCTAGATGGCATGACTTTTTTTTTTTTTAATGGTTTCTTGATATGACTTTGGAAGATACCAAATTGTAAGATGTTTAGTAAGTAAAGTATACTGTGGTATTAGAAAAGGATTTGTGTTGACTCGGTACCTGCCCTGGATAGCTATCTTCACCTTAATGGTGATAAGAAGTTGGTAGGTTAGAGGAGTATCGTATGTTTTCTTTGATGTTGATAAAGCATTTGATTGACCTAGACAACCATGAAATATGTAAAAGAGGTAGTTGAAGTCAATGGTCATATGTATTTGTTAAAAGCATAGGCTGTGCTGTGGTGATCTGGGAGATGGCTCAGCAGTTAAAGGTTCTTGTCATCAAGCCTGATGACCTGGGTTCCATCCCTGGCACCCACATGATGGAAAACAAGAACCAATTCACGGAAGTTGCCTTCTGGCTTCCACATGTTTGTTATGGCGTAGGCATGTGTCCCTCCCTGCCCCCCCCCCCAATTTAGGACAACTCAGGCTATGGAGTCCGGATTAGCTTTATAACAGTCTGTTGCTTGTTTAAAATGCTAAAATGACTATTATCAATTTGACACCAGTAGAAGAGGATATCCTAAGTTATCCTATAGGGCTTTGCTTACTCATAGTCAAGATTGTTCAGCACTCACTAGTGCAGATTACTAGTATAGAATAGTAGGTTTCATTGTGATTTTTCACATATTCATAAATTATATTTGTATTAGTTAGATGGTACAAAGTGATGCAATGATATATGTATATGAAGGAATGAGTCAATAAAACCAGTTAACATCTGGCATCTCAGTAACCAACCATTTTTTTTAATGACAAGGACCTTCAAAATTTACTTTCTTAATAATTTTGAAACATCTACTATACATTATTAAATTGCAGGCATCTTGCTATAAAGTAGATTTCAGTTCCCCTACCTAACTGAAACTTCCTACCCTAGACCAATACTTCCCCATTCTCTACTCCGTGGCCTCTGACGCCTACTGTTCTGCCCACTGTGACCTTTATTTTTGTATGGAAACACGCAAAGCATAGTGTGTTTGGTAAGTGTAGGAGTTCAGTAGTGCTCTTATTAATACTGACATATAGTTGTGTAGCTTGCTTGAATGATTGCACAAAATATTGAAATGATCATTGTCAATTTGATACCAGCAGGAAGAAGATGCTCCCAGGTTTTGTTATAGGGCTTGTCATGTCCATAGTCAGTTTGTTCAGCACTTGGTGTGTGAGGGCTTGGGGCATATGTTTATATGAGGTCTTGTATGTATGTGTATGTGTGGGGGAGGCCAGATGCCAGCATTGGGTGTCTTCCTCAGTATTGCTCTTCAGCTTAGTTTCTGAGACAAGGTGAACCTGGAACTCACTGATTTGGTTCGACTGCCTGGCCGATAGGCCCTAGGGATCCTCTTGCCTCTACTTCCTCAGTGCTGGCATTACAGGTATGTGCTGCTGCATTCAAACTTTTACACGAGCGCTTGGGATCCAGACCCAGCTTGGTCACACTCTCATGCTTGTGTGGCTAGCACTTTGCAGACTGAGTTATCTCTTCAGTTTCTGTTCAATACTTTATAAACGTTTTTCATTTTCATTTTTTTGTATATTGGTGTTTTGCCTGCATGTGTGTATGTGCACCATGTGTGTGCCTGGTGCCCGCAGAAGCCAGAGGAAGCTAGTGGATTTCCTGGAATTAGAGTTAGAGATGTTTGTGAACTACCATGTGGGTGCTGAGAATTGAACCCAGGTTCTTTGAAAGAGCAGCCAGTGCTCTTAACCACTGAGCCAACTCTTCAGCTTCTGTTCAGTAGTTTTTATAACTGTGTAGTAACTGTCTAGAATAATGAGTTTCATTGTGATATTTTCATATATGCATATAACATATTTTGATTGTATTTTCTAAAAATAGTTCTAAGAAAGTGTTGGTTATGGGCCAGTGAACTAGCTCAGTGAGGGAAGGCATTTCCTGCCACGCCTGAGGACTCAAGTTCAGTCTCTGGGCCCCACATGGTGCATGGAGACAATCGGTTTCCTCAAATTGTCCTCTGATCTCGAGATATGCACTGTGACAGGTACACACACACACACACACACACACACACACACACAAATGTAAAAGTATTGAATTATTCATCATATTGGGGCAGAGTGTGATCAACTTTTTGGGGTCTACATTTTTTGTGTATTTCAAACCCACATTTATTTTTTTGTTTTGTTTTGTTTTTCGAGACAGGGTTTCTCTGTGTAGCTTTGTGCCTTTCCTGGATCTCACTCTGTAGCTTAGGCTAGCCTTGAACTCACAGAGATCCACCTGCCTCTGCCACCTGAGAAAATAAACATTTTTTTAAATATAGAAGGCATGAAGCCAGATGGGAGTGGTATGTACCTTTAATCCCAGCACTTGGGAGGCAGAAGCAGTTGGATCTCAGTGAGTTCGAGGCCAGCCTGGTCTACAAAGCGAGTTCCAAGACAGCCAGGACTGTTACATAGAGAAACTCTGTCTTGAAGAAACAAACAAACAAACAAACAAACAAACAAATCTAGAGGCATGGCTGACACTAAATGGCAGAGTTGGAATTGTAGAGTTTTGTGAAGCGGCAGACTGACCTTAAGATGAAATGCGGTGTATTCCAAATAAAACAGTGTAGTCACACATAACATGTTTACTGTGAATGCTCTGGAGAACGCCACTTTAGTGATTCATGTGATCAGGACCAAGGTTTTATACAGTGTACATCAAATGGCCAGGATTGGTTTATTCAGGAAATGGGCATGAGAAGAGATGATTATACACTTGAATTATCTGAAGATTCATTCATGTAGCAAAAGTCCTCTCCCTTCCTGTCCTAATGCAATGTATTTCATTAGCAGCACTGAAACGACTGGCGGTGTGGTCCAGTGTAAGTTCTGGGATCTGTCCTGATGGATGAATAGAGCTGGCTTGGCAGGGTTGAAATCTTTGTTGTGTTAAGACCAAGGGGAGTTGAACTATTTAAAATGGAGAAATGAAGGCTTAATGCCATTGTCCCTAATGTATCTGAAGAGTATATGAGAGGAAAGATGAGAATTTTGTATGTGGAAGAGTCAGGTTCAATAGTCAGGAGTAGTTAGCTTCTGCCACTTGGCTTTGGAGGTGTTCAAGTTGGGTCTGAATGTCCACCTGTCAGAGTTAGACAGATACTGACATCTGGTGAGAGATTAGGTAGATTTAATGTCCTTCAGGCTTTCTTTTAGCTCCAAATCTGAAATGTAAGTGTAGCTATAGAATTTTAAAGTTGTAAGAGTTATCCTTTAGCTCATTCAGTGAGACTGTTAAAGAAGAGGGTCTACCACCAGAAAGAGGATAATTATTAGGTGGATCTGATTGGTTGTTTGCAACCTTGGTAGTCTTAGTTTGCAATTTGAGGACTTAAGAGCTTCTAATACCTGTACTTGCTTTCACAGTTCCCTCTCTCTAGCCTTTATTGTGCTAGTGAGAATTCCTGTTTGTCTTACAAAGCTGAAATATGAGGAAACATTTTGCTCTGTGGTACTTAAGTTGAACACTGATTGCTAACAAGTAAAGATTGCCCGAGTAACTTAGAGGTTTGTGAATGAACTGTTCTTCTGCATATGTGGGCAGGGATGGCTGGCTTTATCTTTTCATGAGGTGGAAGCCAGTCCTTACTAGTTCTTTTCTTGTGGATTAACCTTTATTTCATTCATTCATTCATGTATGTATTTATGTATTTTATGCATATGAATGCTTTATCTGCATGTATGTCCACAAGCCAGAAGAGGGCATCAGATCCCATTTTAGATGATTATGACCCAATGTATGGTTGGGGGATTTGAACTCAAGACCTCAGGAAGAATAGCCAGTGAGTGCTCTTAACCACTGAGCCATCTCTCCAGCCTAGCCCTTTATTTCTTATGGCTGAAGAAACTTGGATTTTTAAAACTACTGAAATATCCATACTTAAAAACATTGCTCTTGAATTTTATATCATGTAAGAAAGCCTCAAAATCTTCAACAGTTAGTGTCCTTTCTGGTTTAGTAATTTTTCATTTTTTTGAAGATTTGTATTATTGAAATATATCTTATTTTGTGTTGCAAGCAGGATTCTGAACTGTTCTTAGAAAATTAGTAACTAGAGCTTGACACAGGTAAAAGCTATGGCTTTGTAAGCCCTTTGAGTGGACTTCCCATGCATAGAAAACATGGGATTGAGGAGCAAGTGAAACATACCACATAGAAACACAGGATCAGATCTAGAATGTGGGACATCATATAGGACATTTGCCTGGTTCTTTCAAAATTTATTCTCATCGTGCAAAGAAGGTAGGAGATGTCTTCTAGATAAGAAGAGAAGGAGGAGGCATGGCAGGCAGATTCCATGTGTGAACTTGATAGGATCCAGTTTCCAAGGGTATGTCTATGAAAGACACTGTGCGAATAGGTGAATTTGAGTATGGGTCAGTTCTGTGATTGTTACAGTATTGTATGTTTTCATAAGTATGTAAATGATGGGGTGGCTATAGAGAAGAGAGCCCTTGTTTAAAGAGAGACATATTGATATGCTATTTGAAAAGTGTTGTGTGCTACTTGAACTAACTGGGATAACTTACATTTAAAATTTTCTGTTTACATGTATGTGTGAGTGGGGGTGTAGTGTGCTGTGAAACTGGAATTACAGACAGTTGTGAGCCGTCATGTCGGTGCTGGGGATCGAACCCAGGTTCTCTGGAAAAACAGCAGATGTTCTTAACCCCTGAGCCATTTCTCTGGCCCCAGGGTAACTTTAAAGCATGTGCAGATATATAGAGAAAACAGATAGGACAAGTCTTAAAAATGTCTGAATCTAGGTGGACAGTATACAGGACTTTTTATGGATTTAAAAATTTCCACAATGTGAGGAATAAACCATGATTTCTGGAATTTGATATCTGAAGTTTTAGTATGAGAAGTAGGGCTTTTAAAGAACAATGCATTAGTTGAACTGACAGGATTTGGCATTGGTTATTTCTGACAGGAATAAAGTATAGAAATAAATCATATCTACATACCTGATTGTATTGCATGATGCACTTCAGTTTTCTTTCTTTTTTAAAAATTATTTCTTTATTTATTTATTTGGTTTTTCGAGACAGGGTTTCTCTGTGTAGCTTTGCGCCTTTCCTGGATCTCGCTCTGTAGACCAGGCTGGCCTTACAAAGATCCGCCTGGCCCTGCCTCCCGAGTGCTGGGATTAAAGGCGTGTGCCACCACCGCCCAGCCTTTTTTAAAAATTATTTATTTTTATTTTATGTACATTAATGTTTTTCCTGCATGTATGTCAGCAGGAAACTGGAAGTTACTGAGAGTTGTGAGCCACCATGTGGGTGCTGGGGATAGAACCCGGGTTCTCTGGAAGAACAGCTAGTGCTCTTAACCGATGAGCCATCTTTCCAACCCCTGCACTTCAGTTTCTAAATAAAATATTTTCTCTGCCTCCTGTCTGAAAGGGTGAATGTATTAGCATGGAAATGAACTCAGAACACATTTTGTGGAGAATATTCACATTAAAGTAGTTAAGCATTGTGGTTTAATTTGCATAGTGGAAAGAACTCTGAGTGTGTTTAAAGGACAGTTCACTTGCAGAGTTTCACTTGTAAAGTGTCTAGAATTATAATGCTTTGAAAGCATTCAGAGTGTATTCATCAGTTATCTCCTGGCAAACATTTGGTAGTAAGCTAGAAATTAAAAAAAAAAACAAACCTGATTTTAAAATGCAACAACAAAAATTCCTTGAATGATGTCTTTATTCTCTGCCATATGAATTTATTTTGTTGCATATATCCTGAAGTTTAAAAAGTTTGTACTGTTTTCTTCAGTGGCTTCTTCTTATAAAGTATTCTGTATATAGATCATCATTATTTGTTAAATAATGCAGTAATACATGAGGAAAGTGGTAAAATATTTTAAGGCTTATGCTAATCACTAAGTCTTTGCTTTTTTATTTTTGTTTTCTAAAGGAAGGAGAGTTCATTCTGGAGCTCTTTGGAGTGACCGTGACTCAGGAATGCAGATTTAGGCTATCCCAATTTACAAGTTTCAGCAAGGAAGCAGTTTTCTAAATTAGTTCTGTTTTGGCAACTAAACATCATTTGGAAAAAATCTGTTAAAATGTCTGACGTTTGAACCAAGGCAAATGGTTTAATGGTTCTGTTGTTAATTTAAGTTACTGAAAATAGTTTACTATAAAATATATAGAACATGTGTAAAGAGGCATTTTAGTGAAAATATTTCTTATGTTTGCTGGGCAGTGATGAGTTTTGTAGGAGTAATTTACACTTCTGTGTGGGTGTTTTGCTGCATAATTATGCTAGCATATTGAAGTCATATGTTCCTTCCTCTTCTCTCTTCTCTTCCTGGTTTGCAGAGTATTTGGTTTCTGACACTGGAGGACAACAGCTCTCAATAAGTGATGCCTTCATCAAAGGTAATTTTACAAACAACTGTTTGTTATAATTTTACAAATAATGTCTGTTTCATGATGATGTGCTTGAGGATTTAGGACATTGATTAACAGAAAGTGCTGAAAATATATTTAATTACTATCATAGGAACATGATTTTAAATGTGTAGAATGACTTTTGAGTACGTTAGAAGTCAAGAATATAAATTTGGTCTTGGTTTGAGAAGGGGACCTTTAATATAAAAATGATTGTTTAGTTTTTTTTTTTTTTTAAAGGAAGGGAAGCATCCAAACTCTTTTTTTTTTTTTTTTTTTTTTTTTTTAATTTTATGTACATTGGTGTTTTGCCTGCAGGTATGTCTGTATGAGGGCATCAGATCCCCTGGAACAGGAGTTATGACAGTTGTGAGTTGCCATATGGGTGCTGGGAATTGAACCTGGGTCCTCTGGAAGAGCAGTCAGTGTTCTTAACCACTGAGCCATCTCTCTAGCCCGATTGTTTAAATTTTTGAATAGAGTTTGCATTTCATATTTTTGAAGGCATTATCTTAATAGTAAATATTGATATACATATTGTCAAGGATTGCCTCTTTGCCAAAGAGCTCACAAGTGAGCTTATCACTTGAATTTGATGTTGCCCTGTGGAGTTGGGAAGAGAAGTAGGCAAACAGAATAAAGCACTAAATCTTTTGATCAGTTTCATTGGGACTAAAGAAGAGTAGATGAATACAAACCTCTCCTACCTTTACCTTAAACTCCCGTGGGGAAAAGACAAAGGGAGAAAAGGATCCTTCTCTGGTCTTGTCTTCTCAGTTCCTGGGGTTTTAGAAAAAGAGAGAAGTGGGGCAAGAAAAGGATCCTTCTCTGGTCTTGGTCTTCTTAGTTCCTGGGCTTTTAGAAAAAGAGAGAAGTCGGGCTAGTTGGAACAAGGGAGGCTGGTGGCAGCTGATCGGGCTTGACAGTCTGTCTAAATGCACCTCCTCACATCTGGTTCAACTAGAAGTTTATAGACTGGCTCTTCATGTAAGTGAAAAGTGCCAGCCTTGTGCCTCATGTTCCATGACACATGCTTTATAGAAGTTGGTTTGCTTTAAAAGAGAAAGCATTAGAATTTCCTGTCTTTCTATTTGTTCAGTCATACTATTCAATGGTTATTTAATGAACGCATGTTTTGTACAACATTTTTTAAAACTTTTTGTAATCCATTTTGTCGTTTTAAAAGTTACTATTTTTATTTTTTTAAGTCATGTAACCAAAAAAAAAAAAAAAGTTCCTGAAAAGATGGGTGGTGGTGGCTCACGCCTTTAATCCCAGCACTTGGGAGGCAGAGCCAGGTGAATCTCTGTAAGTTCGAGAGGCCAGCCTGGTCTACAGAGCAAGATCCAGGACAGGCACCAAAACTACACAGAGAAACCCTGTCTCGCAAAACCAAAAAAAAAAAAAAAAAAAAAGTCACATATAAGTGTGTGTGTCTACATGTGTTTATGTGCATGTGAGTGCAGGCACCTGCGGAAATGTGGGGTGTTAGAACCCCGAGAGCTGGAGTTACAGATGGTTGTGAGCTGCCTAATGTGGATTCAGGGAACTGAACTCTAGTCTTCTGGAAGAGCAGCAAATGCTCTTAACTTAGGAACCATCTTCCCAGCCCCCAAAGCAATGTAGACGAAGCTGGCCTCAAGATCATAGAGATCTGCCCTTGTTTGCTTTCTGAGTTTTGGCATTAAAGTTGTGTACCATCATCCCCAATCATTTCACTCTTTAAAAATTCAAAGACTTTTCAAAGTCTTATGTAAATTATTTACTATGTTTTATTTAGTATAATTTCTTCATGATGTATTTTTTAAGTTAATTTTGTTTTAAAGCCTGTATTGTAAAGTACAGTGGAGGATATTGTCATCTGGGGTGGGGGGGGGTCCATGAGAGTTTTTCCTCTGTCATTGTCACCTTCAGATTTCAGTTGAATGTGGTTTTCAGGTTATGATTTTATGTGCAAAATCTGCATTCTTATTGACTCTCTAAAACAAACAGGATGGAAAAACACCATTCTGTTTGTCTTTCAGAATTTATGTTGATACTCTTGGCTGAGAGTCCTTGTTCCTTCAAGTTGCTTCTCATAGCTGTGCTCAGATTTTGGTTGATGCCAGTTGTGTCTGGGTTCTGCTCACCAAGCAGGGTCTTGTATGTGCTAGAGAAGTGCTGTACTTCAAGCCTTGTTTCTGCATTTTAGTGTTTTGATGTATGATTGCATATTTTATTAATATTTTAAGTGTGTGTTGATTACAGGTCTTTGCCATTTTATAGCAATAATTTATATTGGCCAACTTAAGATACTTTTATTTTCTAAGTGTATGGGTTGATGATGTAAAACATGACAGTGAAGTACTAACTTCTTATTTTGTGTTTAGAATCCTTATTTAATCGACGAGTAGAGGAAAAATCCAAAGAGTTGCCTTTCACCCCTTTGGGCTGGCATCATAACAACCTGGAGCTCTTGCGGGAGGAGAATGAGGAGAAGCAAGCCATGGAAAGGCTGCTGTAAGGCACTATATTTTTATTTTTCATTCCTCTTCCTTATAAAGTGGAAAATACTAATATAAAGTGTATTCTGACTTCTGAGGAAGTAGCTTATAAAACAGTCCTAAACTGATTGTTTCCATTTTAATTTATGTGTTAAAATTTTAATTCAGTTGTTTGAAGGTGCTTTGTTAGTTGGAAGATTCACAGATTTCATTTGTGTACAGAATCATTATGGTGAAGATAAGTTGAAAGAAATTGACATGGAAGATCTTACCTGTGAGCCATAATTGGAATGTCTATGTCTTTGTAGTGCTTCTTGTGTCTTTATTACTAACTGTGAAACTTGTTTTTGTAACGTTTTGTAGTTCAGCTAATCATAACCACATGATGGCACTACTCCAGCAGTTGCTTCATAACGAGTCATTGTCATCATCTTGGAGGGACATCATTGTGTCACTGGTTTGCCAGGTTGTTCAGACAGTCCGACCTGATGTCAAGCACCAGGACGATGACATGGATATCCGCCAGTTTGTCCACATCAAGAAGGTACGCTCTGCTAATGTTTGCTGATGCTAGGAACTGATGGCATAGGCCTAATAGTCATTTATCTCTCTTTTTTTTTTTAAAGATTTATTATTTATTATGTATATAACGTTCTGCCTGTATGTACGCCTGCAGGCCAGAAGAGGGCACCAGATCTCATTCTAGATGATTGTGAGCCACCATGTGGTTGCTGGGAATTGAACTCAGGACCTCTGGAAGAACAGCTAGTGCTCTTAACCTCTGAGCCATCTCTCCAGCCC